TGAATGTTATCGAGTGCCAGAGGAACAAGAACCAGGTGGTGGTTCCGGTGTTGTACGGCGAGAGTCCATTACTGGGCGAATGGCTCAGCGTGCTGGATTTGAGAGATTTATCTCCAGTTCACCAATCCAGGTATTCGCTTTATTTTGTTATCTTCAGTTGTCTTTAGCTTTTCACATTAGGGTTTAATTTAAGCTTTACTTATGAGAAAACAGTTATAAATAAATAGCAGAGCAAGTATTGTTTCATTGACATGTAAATGTAATCTTAAAACTTTATGGTTCGTTGGTGTAATTAAGTGCGTTTCTTTGAGTCGCAGGAAGGACTGTAGTGACTCCCAATTTGTAAAAGAGATTGTTAGAGATGTGTATGAGAAGCTCTTTTATAAGGGACGGATTGGAATCTATTCAAAGCTGCTGGAGATTGAGAAAATGGTTTGCAAGCAACCGTTGGGCATCCGTTGTGTTGGAATTTGGGGTATGCCTGGCATAGGCAAGACGACACTTGCTAAAGCGGTCTTTGACCAAATGTCTGGCGAATTTGATGCTTCTTGTTTTATCGAAGACTATAGCAAAGCTATTCAAGAGAAGGGTGTTTATTGTTTGCTGGAGGAACAGTTTTTGAAAGAAAATGCTGGTGGTGCTGGTGGTACCGTTACGAAATTGAGCTTGCTTAGAAACAAATTGAACAATAAGAGAGTTCTTGTTGTTCTTGATGATGTGCGCAGTCCTCTGGTTGTGGAGTCTTTTCTTGGAGGGTTTGACTGGTTTGGTCCCAAAAGCCTAATCATCATAACCTCTAGAGATAAACAGGTGTTTCGCCTTTGTCGAGTCGATCAAATATATGAGGTTCTGGGTTTAAATGAGAAAGAGGCTCTTCAGCTCTTCTCTTTTTGTGCGTCTATAGACGATATGGCAGAGCAGAGTCTCCATGAGGTGTCAATGAAAGTGGTTAAGTATGCGAGTGGACATCCATTAGCTCTCAGTCTCTATGGCAGAGAGCTGAAGGGTAAAAAAACACTGCCAGAAATGGAGACAACATTCCTCGAACTCAAGGAACATCCTCCAACTATGTTTGTTGATGCAATCAAGAGCTGCTATGACACACTCAATGACAGGGAAAAAAACATTTTCTTGGACATAGCTTGTTTCTTTGAGGGAGAAAATGTCGACTACGTGATGCAACTGCTTGAGGGTTGTGGTTTCTTTCCACATGTTGGAATTGATGTTCTTGTCGAGAAGTGTCTGGTGACTATTACAGAAAACCAAGTGCGGATGCATAACTTGATCCAAAATGTTGGCCGACAAATAATAAATAGAGAAACAAGACAGACTAAGAGGCGCGACAGACTGTGGGAACCTTGGAGCATCAAATATTTATTAGAAGATAACGGAGAAAAAGAAAATGGAGAACACAAAACAACTTTGGAACGTGCTCAGGTCTGTAATCATTTGATAGTTTTATATTGAACCTATTTTATGAGCCAGCATCCTAATATAATCCACTTCCAATATTCTTTCAGGGCCCTGAAGAGATCGAAGGCATGTTTCTGGACACATCAAACTTTAGTTTTGATATTAAGCCTGCTGCCTTTGATAATATGTTGAACCTTAGATTGCTCAAGATTTACAGTTCCAATCCTGAAGTCCATCATGTAAAGAATTTCCTCAAAGGCTCTCTCAATTCTCTTCCTAATGAGCTAAGACTCCTCCATTGGGAGAACTATCCTCTGCAGTTTCTGCCCCAAAATTTTGATCCTATACACCTTGTTGAAATCAACATGCCGTACAGCCAACTTAAGAAACTTTGGGGTGGAACCAAGGTAAGCAAAATCAAATATGCGTCTTTTGCCCTTATCTATACTTGACAGATTTTGTAATTATTTGTTTGGCGATTTGTTTCTTAGAACCTGGAGATGTTGAAAACTATCAGGCTTTGTCATTCCCAGCAACTAGTTGATATTGACGATGTTTTAAAAGCTCAAAATCTTGAGGTAATTGATCTCCAAGGTTGTACAAGACTGCAGAGTTTCCCAGCCACAGGTCAATTGCTACATCTACGAACTGTAAATCTCTCTGGTTGCACAGAGATCAAAAGTTTCCCAGAGATTCCCCCAAATATTGAGACACTGAATCTACAGGGGACTGGTATAATAGAATTACCACTTTCCATTATTAAGCCAAACTACACAGAGCTTTTGAATCTTCTAGCTGAAATCCCGGGTCTTTCAGGAGTCTCAAACCTTGAGCAAAGTGATCTCAAACCTTTAACAAGCCTGATGAAAATGAGCACATCTAATCAAAATCTTGGCAAGCTTATTTGCTTGGAGCTGAAAGATTGTGCTCGTTTGCGAAGTCTGCCAAACATGAATAATTTAGAACTTCTCAAAGTTCTTGATCTTTCTGGTTGCTCAGAGCTCGAGACTATCCAGGGTTTCCCACAGAACCTGAAAGAGTTATATCTTGCTGGCACTGCAGTAAGACAAGTGCCACAACTTCCTCAAAGCTTAGAACTCTTTAATGCACATGGTTGTGTCTCTCTCAAGTCAATTCGCGTGGACTTCGAGAAGCTTCCTGTGCATTACACACTTAGTAATTGTTTTGATCTCTGTCCAAAAGTGGTCAGCGATTTTTTAGTGCAAGCGCTGGCTAATGCGAAACGCATACCAAGAGAGCATCAACAGGTAATATTACATCCTTGTCTCAATACCTGATATGTACATCCAGCCCAGTCCTTATGTTATATCTGACTAATCATGTATTTATTGCAACAGGAACTCAACAAAACTTTGGCTTTCAGCTTCTGTGCGCCCTCACATGCGAATCAAAATTCCAAACTTGATCTGCAACTAGGATCTTCTGTAATGACACGACTAAATCCTTCTTGGAGGAACACACTTGTGGGCTTTGCTATGCTGGTGGAAGTCGCATTTTCGGAGGATTACTATGATGCTACTGGTTTTGGCATTAGTTGTGTTTGCAAATGGAAAAACAAGGAAGGCCACTCTCATAGGATAGAAAGAAATTTGCATTGTTGGGCTCTAGGGAAAGCTGTTCAAAAGGATCATATGTTTGTCTTCTGTGATGACAACTTGCGTCCAAGTACTGATGAAGGAATTGACCCCGATATCTGGGCTGATTTAGTTGTCTTTGAGTTCTTTCCTGTCAACAATCAGACAAGGCTTCTAGGTGATAGTTGCACAGTGACAAGATGTGGAGTCCGTGTAATAACTCCTCCAAACTGCAATACAAGTCTCGAGATATCATCGTCAGTTTTGTCCTTAGATCCGATGGAGGTTTCTGGTAATGAAGGTGAAGAAGTATTGAGAGTCAGTTATGATGGTTTACAGGAGATAGATAAAGCTTTATTTCTTTACTTAGCAGGTTTGTTCAATGACGAGGATGTTGATTTGGTGGCACCACTTATTGCTAACAGTATTGACATGGACGTCAGTTATGGGCTCAAGGTCTTAGCCGATAGGTCTCTCATACGTGTATCTTCCAATGGGGAAATAGTGATGTACAATTTGCAACAAGAAATGGGTAAAGAAATCCTCCATACAGAATCAAAGAAGACTGACAGATTGGTCGACAATAGTCAGAGTTCCATGATCGATTCAAAGGAAATCGAGATCACTCATTCAAAGAATCGCCGAAAGTAAGTTCTCTCTATTTTTATTTCTTAAAGTTCAATATATAAACCCGTAGACTTGTCTTTGTGGTTTCTGTTCATTGGGAGAATTCACAATTAAGTAGTTAACCGTAACTTTAAAAAAATTAAAATTTTCTAACGTCTGTTTTATACTTTTATTAGATTGAACTAAGTTTACAATAGCCATTAGGGAAGTACCATTATGTTTTTTTTTCCCAAGTTTAGTAACATAGGTCTCTAATGTTTGAAGTATTTAGATTACTTTTTGTAATATTTCATACATTTTGTAGATTTTTTAAAATGAGTTTTTATTGACGGTGGATGCAGGAAGAGCAGGGCAAAGAAAGTGGTTCGCGTACTGGATCCAGGCAGCCGGTCCAGTGAAGAAGTAGCTGACCTATGGGTTTGGCGAAAGTACGGTCAAAAACCCATCAAAGGTTCTCCTTATCCAAGGTACATTCATTATATATACACATATCTTTGATGTTTACTGAAGGATTAATTAAGTCTTTGCTCTTTACTTAAAAGATTAATTATTTGATTCTCAGGAATTACTACAAATGTACCAGCTCGAAAGGTTGTTCAGCTAGGAAACAAATCGAACGTAGCCGCACCGATCCAAACATGTTAGTCATTACTTACATCACTGAGCATAACCATCCATCCCCCACTCAACGCAATGCTCTTGCCGGCTCCACTCATTCCCCGTCATCCTCCAAATGCTCAGCTGTAACTACTTCTGACTCATGTAGAGTCTCCCAACACAAAGACGAACCGGATAAATCCCATTTGCCTTCCTCTCCCGCTTCTCCTCCTTATGCGGCCATGGTGATTAAGGAGGAGGACATGGAGCGACGGGACAATATGGAGTTCGATGATGACGTTGAAGATACCTTAATACCGGAATTATTTCCAGAGGATATCTTTGCTGATCTCGACAAGCTTGAGTCGAATTCTCAGACTATGTTTCTCTCTAACAGTAGCAGCGGAGGCAACATGGAAAACCAAGGGCGGAACTCTAGTGATGATATGGGGATCAATTTACCTAATAAAACTCTGTGAATCATAGTTACTATTATGCAATGTTAATAATTTGCTTAGTGTTTTAATCAACAAATATAATTAAACGCAGGTGCATCGAGAAAGAAAAAGCATGACAATCTCCCGTGTTGTTGATATCATATTCATACCACTACTGAACAATTTGTTTCAAAACTCATCGTCGTTAGTTTGTTCGATCCATATACCATATGAGTGCTTCTGTTTTCTTTCTGCTTTCTCTGATATCGGATTTGTATACCGGTTTAACCATTCTAGTTGTACCAAACCGGTTAAAACGCGAAAAAAGGAAGAAAGAAAGCTGAGCCGCTAATTTCTAAACTTGCTTGATCCATCGAGATGAGTCTTCTTCTCTCTTGTGCCTCTGCTCGCACCTCCAATCTTTTTTGTTCCTCCCAAAAGGTTCTCTCTTTCTTTCTCTCTCTATTCTTTTTGCTACATATGGTTTCATACAAGACCATGAGTTTATATATATTGTTCAAAAGGTCAATGGAAGAGAAAGAGAATTGCAATACCCAATTCTTCCAAATCACAACAAAGATTTGAACTTTCTGATAAAGAAGTTAGCTCCGCCACTCACGGCGGTTCTACTTGCTGTTTCACCCATCATCTGTTTCCCTCCAGGTAAACCTGACCAAAAGCTTCCACCTTTAGAGTATTTGCATTTTGATTGAGACATTACAGAACAACTCTTTCACTTTAAAAACTTTTAAGTTAACAGAGAGCATTTTTGTAGAACACTTGTTTCACTGAAGAATGTTTTCTTGTTGGGACTACTGATATGGAATCTTGATTTATGCTGGAATCTGGATTATGCAACCGGAAAAAAATGATGTAATCAATGTATCCATGAATTACTATTGGAATTGAAGTAAGTTTTGAATGTGTTCATGAAAGTTTCTTGCTTTTGTGGGTATTGTGGTGTAGAATCTCTAGGGCAGACTTTGGATATACAGAGAGGAGCAACATTGTTTAATAGAGCTTGTATCGGGTGTCACGATACAGGTGGAAACATTATTCAACCGGTGAGTTAAAAACCATTCTTGATTCTCTTCTCATGGCATCTTTCATTTCCCTTTGAGTCTATTAGACTATATCCTTTCACTTTTCCAGGTCGCAACGCTTTTCACAAAAGACCTCGAAAGGTAATATAACCAATGCTGGACACTCAAAGAACTTTGTGTTATGTGCATCTATAGTATTCTGACAGGAAAAATCAGTTACACAGATCTTTATCTCTTAAGATTTGCAATGGTCTTTTTACGTTTCTACAGAAATGGAGTTGATACCGAGGAAGAGATATATCGTGTTACCTACTTTGGAAAGGGAAGAATGCCGGTGAGATCTCCTTGAAGAACTTCCTTGTATAAAACTGAGAATATTCCTCCACTTTGCTAAATGATCTGAAGTATGTCTCTGATGATTTACTTTAGGGATTTGGAGAGAAATGCACACCGAGAGGACAATGTACCTTTGGACCGCGGTTGCAAGACGAAGAAATCAAGCTTCTGGCTGAATTTGTAAAGTTTCAAGCTGACAAAGGTTGGCCAAATGTATCTACCGACTAGCGAGTAGCAACGAAGAATTAGTACAGTTCAATTCGGTTGGTGAAGTAAAAATTTGCAGCAGTAGTTTGATATTTCTTTGTATCTACTTACACTGGTAACATTTCTTTTTGGGAGGCGTAATTGTAATTGCTTATGCTCCAAGATGTTCTTTAGGTACAAAATTCATAGGTGTTCATAATCTACCAACACATACGTGCTCATAACTTTTGACTATCCTTGACATTAGCCAATACATATACGCTATTCTGAATATCTTTCCTCTGGAGAAAAATGCAGTGGAAAAATAATAGTTGAATCCTCTGGTATGTTATGAAGTCTCATGAGCATAACCTTGACTCTTCATGTTCTTGAGAACCATCTGGTGAATCAGTTCGCTTTCTTTTCTTTGTATCTGACTCACCTAACTGCAAAGAAAAGCCAATCTCATCACCCGAGCTATTAGTCTTAAGAGAAGACAGGTTCTTGGATTCGAGATTCTCTGGTCCATTAATTTTCTGATGGAGTGAGTATCCGTTGTTACTTGAACTTGGAATGAACTGGTGTTCTTCGATCATAGCTGCTGATTCTAACACATCTTCTATTTGGAACTCTGGATGAATGTTTGAGCTGTCTTCTTCTCTAAGAACTTGCTGGACATTCAAGTTAATAGGCTCAAAGTTCTCACCCGTTTTACACCTCGAAATATTGCACACACCAGGAGATGATTCCACAACGGTGGAATCAATTCCAGCACACATAATACCGTTTCTCTGTTCCAGCACCGCCGCTGCACTCAGCAAAAGAGACATTGAACGAAACAGTGTATACTAAAAGTACCACAAAAGAATCTAAGAGATGACACAGACCTTGAAGACCCTCATTGGAAGTAATGAGATCAAGCTCAAGAAGATTAAGAACTCTTCCAAGATCAACTCCACTTGTCCAATTCTCAGGTTGTTCCCCCACTTTTAGCTTCAACCGTCCCCTGTTTGCTGTTCCTCCCCAAATAATTCCAACAGGTCGCGGTTTCTCATTCTTCTCATCGCCCGCAGCCAACAGAATAAGGCTTCCACTGTCACCCTCAAGATCAAAAGTCTGCTGGTTTTCACCAACAACAAGAAAATCAGTTAGGAAACAAATCCCTTTCTCGTCATTGTATTCCAACGCATATGCCATTATGGTCCCAGTGGTCAAACCAGAGCTTCTTCCAACTTTGACAACTTTCCTTCCTATTAGACTGTTGATTGGTGACTGTAGATCAGTAGCATGGATATTACCGATCTCACCAATACCTTTGACAGTTGTGGTTACATTATTCATGTTGAAGTCCTCCGCAAATGGTATGAAGGCTCCATCAGCTCGAACAAATGTTTCTGTAGAACAGGAAAAGAGAAAACAATAGTTAGAATGTGCTACGCCATTAGACTACACAATCAATAGTTATTATATACTTTGTTACCCGACTACCTGGGTTAGTTCCAGCGAAAATGCCATACCAAAGGTCATCGGTAATGAATGAAGTTGCTCTTTCCACTGCACCTAAGTAGACTCCGGGTCCGAGGCTAGGTGGCAAAGGATGAAACATCTTCTGGCTTGGGTAGTCTAAATCAACTGCAACATGACGGTTTGTAAGGAAGCCAACTTGTCTGATTCCGGTTTTACTCTTTACAATAGCTCCCAAGGTTCCATATGTCTCTTGGCTAGCCACCTACAAGAAGAGAGGCATGGCCAGATAATTTTTATAATAAGAATGTCGATAATACAAGCTTATATGCAAGTTTAGTACAAAAGTTACCTGTGAACCAGATCCGATGGACGAACCACTGCCTCTCAGATCATCAACAAGCTCTGTATACACCTGCTCTTTGGGCGTTTGCGCAGGTGCACCATAATATTGAAACTCAACAACATCTACATCACACCAAACTCCTCCAGGACCCTGTCAAAGTAAAATACTTTAAAGTAAAAGGATCCATAAGCCGACTTAAATAGGCGGCATTATAAAAGAATTCTACAAATATGTTCCAAGTTGTAGTATCAACATTACTAAAGGTTCCAATATCCACTCTTTCCAGCACGAGCAATCGATTAAAAGCGGAAAGTCAAGTATCATAAGCAAGAAATATGTCACCTCCAAGGCTGTAGGTAAACACTGAAGAGGATTAAGCCATTGCTTGTGAACTTTCCGAGCAACAAAAACAAGAATAGCCGCTATATTTGTCAAAACGCCTCGTCTAATCCGAAATCCAATAGCTGTACCGAGACTAAACCTCCTTAAATTCTTACTATGAAAAGCTCTAATCATCATCAATTCAAGCAACGTAGTAGCTTTCTTCCCTGTAGGTAAACCATCAAAAGTTTCAGGCAAAACACCTTTCTGAAGATTTGCAAAATAGTTTGCTCTGTCTTCTGCTGAATCGTTCAATCGACACGAAGTAGGCCAAGAGAAGTAAGCAGCAGCAGCACTAGTTTCAGGATGCTGACCGCCTGATGGAAACGGTTGAAACGGCGATGAAGAAGCCAATTTAATATGATTGTAGCCGTTTTTATCCAAATCCAATGCAGCAGATTCCACAGATTGTGATGATGATGATACAGAGTGATGAAACCTAAGATCCAATCTTTTCCCTTCCATCTTTACTTCTACTACTTATGAAGATACAATCACCAACCTATACTAAAACTGTACATTAGTTAAAAAAGACTAGCTTTTTCCAAAGTGGCATATAAAAGAAAAGAGCTCATCAAATAAAGTTAGGCTAAACCAAGGGGACTAACACCAAAGTCTAAAGAACACAAATTAGTCTATGTATTTAAAAGGTTAGAGCTTTATTGGAAAATTATGTGCAAGATTGAAAATTGTGATAAACCCAGAAAAGGAAACATGAAAAGAGCTTAAGAGATTGAGTGAAACAATGGAGTTATTAATCAAAATCCAAAGAGAACTAAATTGAGAATTTAGGGGGTCTATTAGTACTAACCGATGATCAGTAGTGTGAGATCTTTCTCATGTTGTGAATACAAAACTCTTCGAAAAGGATCGAAAACAAATGGATTGGTGAAGAAGTGGTAATAATAATAGAGAGGAGGACCCAAGAACTTTGGTTGAGCTTGAGAGTGGACGACGAAGACTTTTTTTTCTCTCAAAAACAAAATTGGAGGAAACAGCGACTCTTTTTGTTTGCCAATGTATATTTTTACTTTTATTTACTTTAAAAACATTATTGCTGTTATATATTTTAGTTGATTTAGATATTTAAGTAATATATAAATAACTTTCAAAATATATAGAGCCAAATAAGGATCTTTCAGACTTTCAGTGTATATTCTTGCATAGTCTTTGAATGTATAATTGTTCAATGATTATATAGTTGAAAAAAAAATTCTTTATGGAATTTTGAAAACGTTGGTAAAAGTAAAAATACAAAAACGAGTAAATATTGCTATTTTAACGGATTTCTGAACAATAGATAAAATCCATTTATTTTTACTTATTTTGTTTTTCAATCAAGTAAAAAGTTGATGTTATCGATAGATTGGCCGTGGGCACCATTAGTAAACCCAATTTGCAGGTTTGTAAAAAAAAATGTTGTTTGTTTGTTTTAGTCTAGTCTTTTTCTCAGGTTAAAGTTAGTTTTACCCTATTCTTAATTTAAAGTTTCGATATCTTTCGATTCGGTTTTAAAACTTTAGCTTAGTAATTTTAATGTTTATGTTTCTCTTGCATAGGGTTTAGTTTCCGGAAATTCACGTTTCCCTCCTGTTTTATTTCCGGAAACTTTTTCTTCGTCCGTTTAATTTCTCTAGTTTGGAATTTGTATTTTAGTTTGGTTATTAAACAACTTTTAATAATAAAAATTCAGATGACCAAAAAAAAATGTATAGGCTATTTAAAATGAAAGATATCTAATTTTGTTTTCGGAACCAAAAAGGCAAATCATTGTAAATTTAATTTATAATTCTTGAAAGAAGAAATAGATAAAACATTAAAAAGAAACTCGATAATGTTTCTTTTTCTTAAACTTATCTTCAAAATGGTGTGATCACACTCAAACGTCATTAAGAGCTATCATGCTTACACACACTCTCTGTCTCTCTCGTTTTCATCTTTTAACACAACAAGTATATCAACAAGCTTTTGATAAAAGAAAATGATCTGTGTCAAAGTGTTTCAAAAACTAGGTTAATCTCCAAACATACACTCACTTCTCAAAATGTAGAACATAACATGACTTGAAACATTTTCACACACACAATGACCTTTGATGTTTGATTTTTTTTTCACGAGGAGAATCTGTCGCGGTCATGAAGCGAAGAGTAATCGATATTGGGGCCGTGAGGGATGATCCCGAATGGGTTTATCGTAGGGTGGCTCCCGTAGTAATGTTGCTTAATGTGTTCCATGTTCACAGTGCTACTCATGCCCTGGATTTGGTAGATATCTTTTATGTAGTTGAAGATATTCGGGTATTCCCGTAAGAGTCTCTTGTTGCATTTGAAGTGAACCGAGTAAACCTGGAATGCAGAAAAAGATGATGTGAAGAACCTGATGGGCTTTATGTTTGGAAACAAACAAAGATGACTCATATACCTCATCAAATCTTATGAGAGTGGCGAATAATCGGATATCTGCTTCAGTGAAAGTGTTTCCGCAGATGTATCGTTGTTTTCTGAGTATTTCCTCACATCTATCTACTGCTTCGTATAACTGGTTCACTGCCTGGAGAGAAAAGGGATCATTTTTTGAATTCAATTACCGTTTCTCCCTGTTAAAATGTTTAAGACATTGAGGAATTTATACCTCATTGTAGGGTTCTTGTTTCCTAGCAAAACCACATTTATAAACACCATTGTTTATCCCGTTGAAAACCCATTCGTTAGTCTCGTCGATTGTGTCTCTGAGATGAGAAGGATAAAGGTCAAGTGACGGGTTTTTGGCAATACCATTGAACTCAGTGTTGAACATCCGGATTATCTCTGAACTCTCATTGTTAACTACAGTCTTAAGCTTCTTATCCCATAGAATCTAACATAATAACAAAAAAACATTCAAGAAACAAGACAAGAGAGATTAAAGAGTTCACCAAGAGATGAAAACTTACAGGAACAGTGTACTTCCCTTCATAGTTGGGGCTAGCAATCTCGTAGAGTTCTCTCACACTCTTGGCACCATTAAGAAAGTCAGGCTCAGCTCCAGGGAGCTCGGTATCCGAATCTGGGAAAACCCATCCTCTATGATCATCAGTTTCCTTGGTTCTTCCCCAAATTGCATGAACCGACTAATCGAAATCAAATAAAACAGAAATGCTTTAGGTAAAAAAAGTCTACTTCGAACCGCGAGGTAAAGCATGAATTTGTACTGACCGAGAAGCTGATTGCTTCATCAAGTCCTTTGATCTTTAAGTAAGAAAGACATCTACAAGCCCATGGACAAGCATAAGATATGTAAAGATGGTATCTTCCTGATTCAGCTGGAAACTGAGAATGAGGATCTTTTGAAACAAAGTTGCGGAATGTTGATGCTGTCCTTACAAACGCTCCAGATTCTGATGTCTCATCAACCCCAGACCTAGCCATTTTGCTACTAATAAACAATTAAAACACAATCAAAAGATTTTTCCAAAAATCTTCATGATCAGTCTCAAATTTCTCAAGATAAAGGATCACAAAAAACGAATCAAAACATCAAAAAGGATAGAAATTTCGAGCAGGGTTTTACTTAATCATCTCATTAGAGCCAGTAAATCATAAAACCTATCAAACCCAGAATTCAGGACATGGCTAACAAGATCATGATTCAAGCAGAAAAGAAGATAGGAGAGTGGACAAAACCTGTTGACGACGATGTTATGTATTTGGAGTCGAATGTCGTTGTTGAATGATGTTTTGTTTTTTTTGGCGATAAGGTTGAAGAAGAAAAAGTCAGCTTTAAGGGAAAATGGTAATGACTGATGTTATCTTATAGTGAAAGAGAAGGAATCAGAAAAAAGGACTTTGCTTTGCCTTTGTCCTCACGAGTTAACTCAACTTTTTTTTGTCACGCCTAACGAGTTGACTCAGCTGGGTTCTGTGGGAAAGCGTGAAAACTTTTGGACCCGAGGTTTGTGCGTCATGGATGTGGTCAAGAACCGAATGTATCGAACCGAACCGAATGTATCGAACCGAAACGAATCAAAAAGTTTAAAACATTTGAATGGATCTTAAATTATAGAACCGAATAGATATATTTCGGTTACTAAAAAATACACGGAATACAATTATATATAGAAAAATATTAGTTATTTATAGATGGAATAATAAAAAATATCTTAAAATATATAAGAATACTGAAAATATTCGAAAATAACTGAAAAATATCTAAAATAATATCTTAAAATACCTAACAATAATCGAAATATCCTAAAGCAAAATCCTAAAATGGATATTAAATTTTAAAATAAAAAAAAACGGAACCGAATCGAAATTTCAAAATACCTAAAACCAAAAGAACTATAACCGAATAGAACCGAACCAAAACCGATTGAATAACCGAACGTCCAGTCAATGACTTTTGGACCGGTCTTAACCAGCTTTTGGACCTCGATTGGGTCGGGTTCGGTACGGATCCCATAAGATTCGGGTCGGTTCTTGCAATATGAAATTTTCTTCTGGTAATTTTCCCCTTCTTCAATTAGACAAATAAAGGTTCGCTTAAAGAGCTCTGAGAGAGGTTAGGGTTCCATCGTTGTCAAATTCTAAGCTTTTCCGATAATAACTTGGAGAATTAATCGAGTTTAGTGATCTTCTTCTTCTTAGGTTTTCTCGATCTGGTTGATTGCTTTAACCATCTGTAACTATGGCGGCAGAACCCAAGGCGGCGGTTGAAGTAGTAAAGGTGGATCTATTCGAGGATGACGATGAGTTCGAGGAATTTGAAATCAACGAAGGTGAAATTTTGTTATTACTACTGCGTTGCTTCTTCTTTGATTTTTGAAATTGATTCATCATCGGTTATAAAATCCATGGATATAAGAGCAAATTTCATTAGCAACTGATTTGGTGATTAGGTTTTGGTATGGAAGGCTTTTATATGATGGAATTAGGAATTGTTTTGGGGCATTGAGCCCTCTAAAATTCTATGATTTCTTTGATTTGGTTTCTGGATTGGTTTTGCTTCCGCACTGTATCTTGTTCCTTTTATCAGATTCTGCTTTGCAAGTTTGTTGAGTTATCAGATTTTACCAATAGTCTCTATTGTCTGAATTCGGGTAGTTCGGATACGAAAACGGATCTGTTTGATATATGTATATGACGATGAAGCTATGGTCTCATAAACTTGATGGATAATAGAGCAGTTTTATCGGCAAACTATTGGTGATTAGGTTTAGCATTAATAGGCAAGGCTTCATGAGCTAAAGGTCTAAAGGTTATGGTGGATTTGTGAATTCTTTGGGGGCATTAAGTAGAGTAGCTTGGGGAGAGTTTTACATTTGAACTTAGGCTATGATTATATTTATTTTGGTTTCTGGATTTCTTTTGATCTTGTTCCATGATCAGATTCTGATTTTAACAGATTTGGCTTTGCAAGTTAGTTGAGTCTTGAGATTTAACAAAATAGTTTTATTGAAAGAACTGATAAAGCTTGTTTTTGTTGTATGAATTGTGTAGTTCTGATGTGAAATGGATGTCATTTTTACGGTCTAACTAAATATCGATGGATCTTTTTGTGTTTGGCAGATTCGTTGGAGAAAGAGGAAGTGAAGGAAGTTAGCCAGCAGTGGGAAGATGACTGGGATGATGATGATGTTAATGACGACTTCTCCCGTCAGTTAAGGAAGGAGCTTGAGAATGGTAGTGAGAAGAAATGAGGTCCAAGATTGAGAAAGGCAGGTCTTCACATTTAGGAACTTATTTTGAATTTCATCCTTTGGTTTATGGCTAGCACATATCGGTTCTCCTTTTCCTTTGCACATTTTACTCTTGGATGCAGATTCCTTGTCTTTGACGATGATAAATTTGAACTGGTAAAATTATGTTCGGATATCACCATCTTGTCTCAGAACACATTGAGGTGTGGACATGGATTGGTTTACTATTTACATTTTCTCACAAGCATCTTTATTAGAGCGTAAAAGACATTTGAAGTGCCAAAATAAACCACAAAATAATTCGACCCGTAAACATGACAAAATTACATAGTTGCTGTCACAAAGAAAGAAAAAATGTCTTTCTAATACTCATCGCCTTCTTCGTCTTCGTCCTCTGCTCCTTCTGCACCAACTTCCTGAGGGCAGAATCCTCACAGGGCCAGAGAACTCTCCTTCTTCCATGCCCTCTCCTACATACCAATGGACAAAGGCTCTTGTGGAGTACATCAAATCAAACTTATGGTCTATACGTAAGAACACTTCAGCCACTGCAGTATTGTTGCTGATCATGCAAACCGCTCGTTGAACCTTTGCCAGGTCACCGGTCACCACCTGGAACCAGGGCCGGCCCTGAAAAAAATGGGGCCAAATACGAAACAGAAAACGGGGGCTGATAGTTTATTTCCGCACTTGAACCCAGTTGGGCACCTAATTTTAACATGACCAAAAATTTGAAATGTGTAGTAGAAAGAGAAACACTAGTGTGAGCTCTTACCAGTCAACAAACTGAATTGTGCGCTTGGCTTTGATGGCAGCATTGACATCCTTAGGCACAACGTCACCACGACATCAAACAGCAAGCCATGTACTTCCTATGCCTTGGGGGTCACATTTGGCCATCATATTGGAGGTTCAAAGACGGAAGTCGTGATCTCAGGAACCGAGAACTGCTTATGGTAGGCCCTTGCAGATGAAATCACAGGTGCATAAGAGGAGAGCATGAAGTGGATCCGACTACTGACAACTGTTTTTCTCCTAGTTATTTTTTTGACATCTTCATTATCACAATAATCATCTTAAACGAAATGACTGAAATGATATTTCAGAAATGGAAAATGTTTTCGGTCTACTAGAAAAAACTCACAGTTCAACAAAAGCGACAGAACATAAAGTGCTTGTGTAGCATAAGTCAATCAGTCACAT